GGGGAGCCATTAGCAGATGACACGAGCTCAGTCCTCAGCAGTAGCAGCAGAAGCAGCAGCAGTGGTGGCCTCTCGGGGCATCCCGAGGGCACCGGTAGCCACAGCCTCCAGCAGCAGTAGCAGCCTCCCTATGGCCCCCTGGGAGCATCATGGGAGGTGGGGGGCCCTGTGGATCAGAGCCACTCGTCCTTTATACTTAAGACCATAACCCAGGACACCGGGGTGCACATGCGCAATTACATTAGACAATAACCACGGAACACCTGGGTGCACGTGCATATTTACATCAAATACTTGGCAAGATTCTGAACATCTGAGGGGCCCTGACCATTTTCCAGTATTTTCCCTACATTGGAACAACACCTTCTCCTTATGTTGCTTTCATTATAACACCATATATAATTCAACTAATGTATAAATTCCACCAGGTGGGATTCCTGTCTGACTTCTTTTTGCCATTCCTCAAGTGACTGGCCACAACTTTTTAGGTGAGCCATAAAAATTTTTGTTATAAATATATAAACGATTATGCATCTCAGCCTACTCTCTGCTCTCTTTTGCATTAGCTCTGGAAGAGGAATGAGCCTAACAGTTTAAACCACAAAAAACACTTTAATACAATTATTGATTGGTTGCCACATACCTTATGCTCCCAGAACCGTACTGTCTTTTCGCATGCATTTCAGAATGTATGTGTATTATTTTATCTCTGTTAAAGGCACTGCTGTCCTCCCACTCACCTGAGCACAACCTCAGACTTATCTTTGGCTCCTTCTCTCCTGCCCACCCCATCCAATCAGATGGCAGTCACTTGAGTCTGTCTGTCCCCTCCATTACCACCAGCATGTTCTCCCTCCAGCTTTTGTCACCTCTTGACTGTTACAGTAGCTTGCCAACTGTTCTCTCCCATGATAATTTCTGTTATGTAATCTGCCAGCTTAATCGTCCTGATTATGTCATTTCCATGATCAAATTACCTTTGAAGTTCTGACAGATTGGCAGAATAAAGCTTGAAGGATTTAACATTTAAGACTGTTTATGATCTGCTTTCTGTTCCTGTTCTTCCTCTTTCCTTTCCCTTCCCTTCCTCCAGCCTAGTTTTCCAATTTTATCTACAGATTTTCTCCTTCATAGTTTACCCTCCAGCCAAACCAAATTATCTGTGTCCTGAGATATACCTGATAGTGTTCTGACCCCCATACCTTTGCTTCTGCATTTTCCTCCACCTGGAATCCTTTCCCTTTACGTCCACTTGTCTACATCTTACTCATTAGTTGGATGTCATCTCCTTGTCACCTTCTGTAGGACTGTATTTGGGCTGTGTCTGACTGTCGGGTTAGGGCCATTGTCGGAATCCTGCTGACGTAGCCAATTGTAGAGCTAAGTGACTACATCAATTGTATGGCTAGGCATTTCATAACTAAAGCCAAAACGTTTCATTATTTTAGTTATACTGTTTCCATTTGTATTGTCAGGGCTAGGGCTCAGACCCTTCAAACCCACTGTACAGACTGGGTCACAGACTCCTCACATGCCAGGCTGGGTCACCAGACCCCTCACATGCAGGTCCACACCAGGTAATTGGGAAAGGTCCCGGGAGCCATTAGCAGATGACACGAGCTCAGTCCTCAGCAGTAGCAGCAGAAGCAGCAGCAGTGGTGGCCTCTCGGGGCATCCCGAGGGCACCGGTAGCCACAGCCTCCAGCAGCAGTAGCAGCCTCCCTATGGCCCCCTGGGAGCATCATGGGATGTGGGGGGCCCTGTGGATCAGAGCCACTCGTCCTTTATACTTAA